ACCTCCTGTGCTCCTCCTCGCTGCCCTCGGGGGGAACACCCAGCCAGAGCTCTGCTCTCTGCTGGGAAGCGCTGACCTCCCTCTCCTGGAAGGGGCGTCCCCGGGGCAGCGGGCTGAACGGAGGCCCCCAGAGACGGGTCCCTTCCTAAACTCCGAGACCTGGGCACGGGACCTTATTTGGAAAAGGGGTCTTTGCAGATGTGATTAGCTAAAGGATCTCAAGGTGTCCTGGATTGGGGGTGTCCCCGGAAGAGAGGAGTAGGACCCACAGAGAAGCCTCGTGATGCCAGAGGCAGAGACAGGAGGGGTGTGGCCACAAGTCCTGAGAGGCGGGGAGGGGTGCGCGGGACCCTCCCCTTGAGCCTCCTTGAAGGGCGTGGCCGGGCACACCGGGACGTCGGAGTCCCGGCCTCAGAGCCGTGCGGAGATGAATCTCTGGTTTTAAGTGGCCATGGCCACTGGTGTGGCAACGTCAGGACACCGTGCAGCAGGCGGGCCGGGGCTCCCAGGGCCAGGGGCCCCACAGGGTGAGCCGTCGGCTGCAGAGGGAGGGAGCGCGTTCCTGGCCACCCCTCACCTCCAGGAAGAGCTTGATGGCCTTGGAGCAGGTGACCCCCGTGGTCCCGCAGGGGATGTTCTCGGTGACGATGCGGAAGGTCCCGTTGGTGCCGTTGCCTCCGCAGTAGTCCTGGGACAGGAGAGACACGGGTCAGGCCCGCATCCTGGTGGCCTGCGGGGCGGGGCGGACGGGGCGTGGGGACCGCATACCTGGGCCAGCGTGTACTCGCAGCTGCCCTCGAAATTGTACCGCTCGCCGTCGAAGGTGATGAAGTGGCCGTCCCCGTAGGCCACGCAGGTGCCCAGGCAGGGCCGGCTGCTGCACTCCCACCTGCGGTTCCGGCAGGTGCTGCAGGGGGCAGAGGTATGTCCTGCTCACGGGCCACGGCGGGGACAAGGACGGGGACCCAGCCCTGCCCGTCAGCAGGGGTGGCAGGAAGCAGCTTCTGCAGCTTCTGTAGCCCTGTCACCTGCAGCCCTGGCACCTGCAGCCCTGGCACCTGCAGCCCTGGCATCTGCTGGCCAGAGGCCGGCCCGGGGCACCTCCCAGGGAGGGATGGGAACATGTGGGGCCTGCCCAGGGGAGGGGCAGGGCCGGCCTCAGCTCCTCTCTGCCTCCTGCTCAGGACCCTGCCCAGGGCCCACT